TAGAGAGAGAGAGAGAGAGAGAGAGGAGGGGTCGGGGCTAAAAAGCTTTGACTGATCGATATCTGAGGGAGCCAACCTTCAATAATCCATGCCTCTGTTTGCTGGCAGATGCTCCTCTTATTCCCACAGTGCCCGAGAAATAAAGAGAAAATGTAAGGCCACCGGCTTCTCCCGGTCGACGTACGGTCGGTAACCGGTGATAGCCGATGGTCACGCTGTCACGGGTCCTGCTATCGACTTTCATGCCCCTCTCCAACATTCAACCACCGGAGATTATAGCGCCCTCTGCTTCTTTCTTTACTACGAAAGGGACCCCAACTAACTCAAAATTACTAAAAAGCCCTCTTTCATTTTTACCACCCCTGTTTTATGACTTTCGTTATTGCCCCCAATTTATTGTTGGGGAATTTTGTGCTTGAGATTGAACGGATGGGATGAAAGGTGGCATGGATGTTGGATCTGGGCCGTTCATAATAAGCATATATCTATATGTTTTGTTTGTGGTAAAATATAAATAAAACCTTTCATGGTTATATAAGAAGTTACCCCCATTACAAGTAAAATCTGATCATACTATTTTCGCATGCATGCATGCATGCTATTTTTCATGAAGAAACCAAAAGTTTCGTAACAGTGCTATTTCCATGTTGATGTGTGGTAAGAGTAATGCACCTCGAGTAAAAATGATTTTGTGCGCGATAAAACACATGTGAAAGAGAGAGGCATAGTTCATGTGATCGATAGGTACAATATTTTTGACAATAAGTTCTAAAGGAATCTGGAATCTGTTTTTGGATTGCTCACTATACTAGTGCGGACAAGGTGGATTGACGAACCAGATTGGTTGTATTGTTCGCAACCTCTTCTCTCGTGAATTTTTGAACAGCCTCTTAATTTGATTGTTTACGGCCTCACTCTTATATAAATTTTTTCATTATTAAAATAGAGAAAGTTTATCATAGTGTAACATTTTGATTTGGTTTCAAATATTTCATCAAAATACATACATGATCTTAAGTTGGAATAATTGCATATGGGCAAAACATTGAATGGTAAGGAGTATTTCAATAGATATCTTTTTGAAATAATAAAACCGGATGAATCAGGGAAACGGGATTTAGATTGTACAACCATCAAATCCGATTCGAATGATGACTCCCAATTTGGACCACTGAATTATAAACGGTAGATATTACGTCCATGCATATGGTGGATTATTTGCAGGTCCAAGAAGTATGGCCAAGTGAGAAGAAGACACAGGATAGAGAACGAGGGGATTCAGATATGATGACATAGAAATTCAAGAGAAAAAAAGGACAGGAGAAAGTCATAGAGAGCAGAGCGTCAAGGTGCAGATATCGTGACCAGTCATAAAATGATGGTGTACCTTTGAAACTAACTCGGCAATTACAATGGATTCATTTCCAAAGAATCCCATGCGAATAGCGTTTAGGGTGCGTATCCTTCCAATACTAGCATCGACTCCACTCGGACTTGGCTGACGCCCAAGGCTGAGTTCTAGGGGATAACTCGCTTTTCCTAAAAATTATTAAAAAATTCATTAATTTCATTAAAATATCTCGTTATATTTTTTAGAAATATAGCTTTCTATGATTTAATGTAGCTTTTTTCAATGATTTGGTAACTTTTATATTCTATGCTCCAATTTTTTTTATTTTTTGCTTTTGTAAAATATTTTAAAAATATAAATGGAACATTTTAATAGTCCAATTATATTTTTTAAACTTTTATAATTTTCTATAACTTATTTTGCCTTTGGCTAATTTTCAATTATTTTTATCAATTTTTTTATATTTTTGTTTAGTCTGAGTCTTGAGCTTAGTTTGAAAATATCGAGTGTATCTTTGTGTGCAAATATGGATGGAGGGATGGAGAGTCTTTTGAGACTCAAAACCGGTGGGAAAAATATGATACGGTTTCTATGCGGTCAGCCCGCATATTGTAGAAAATGTGGGCTTGGCAATAAATATATATTTTTTAAACATAAATTGAGAGATTATATAATTTTTACCGTTGAGATCATGAATAAAAAATAAATATTGAAAATTAATAATAATAATTATATTAAAAAAAAAAGTTGGGCTGTTGGTTACAATTGTTTTTAAATGGACCACCTATTTGCATCCATCTTTAAGATGGATGCTTTATACCTCTGGACTGTATATTGTAGAAATACGGTCCAGCCTACATGAAACAATTTTCCAAAAATATATTCGAGTGCTATTTTCATCTGCTCGACTTTACTGTAATTAGTGAAGCCGGATACCAAAACTTCTCAAAAAATGTAGTTTCGGCATCGAAACCCACATGCTCGCTTGTTAATAAATTTTGACACCTAATTGTAAAATTCGAATCTCATAAAGTGATAGCTAATATGTGGAGACTGAACTTTTAAAGCTAATTCCGTGGTCGAGATGATCGATATGTGTAATTTTTCGATATAAAATTTCCAGCATATACAATCTAATTGATTTCACCTTAAATGTTTGAATTTCACTTTTAGCTTTTAAGTAACGATTCCAGCTGGACGGACGTGTTTGTGCTTAACACCCGATTAAGGAAAGTTGTTACTAAAATCTGTTGAGCATTTAGCATGTGGCATTAGAAAAGGGCAGGGTCTCCTTTCGACTTGGCGTTATAATTTGTTTTGGTTTTCCCTCTTTTCTCTTTCTCTGTCTCATTCATTAAAAACGCTTGTAGTCCCTTTCAAGGACAACCATGTGCTCCATCACCAATCCTACGTGGACCCACTCCACCCATCATGCCACGTCATTAATGTTCATGTGCTTGATGGCCATGTCACATTAATGCCACGGCCATGAACGGTGCCCTTTTAGAGTAGAGTAGGGTAGGGTAGGGTAGGGTAGGTGCCCCTTATTTATGTGACCCACCATCTTCTCTTGTGGGACACACTTCACCTCGCTCTTTCTCTCAGGACACAGCTAGCGAAGCGAAGCGACGCGATGCGATGCATGGGACTGTGGGGTCCACTCTCGAGAGACTGACCGCTTGGTGCCCTCCCCTCCCCTCTATTTTTTGTGCTTTACAAGTCTTTTGCAAGGTATGTGCTGTGCCCTATAGTCTGGATGTGGCCTCCTTGCTTGAGTGACTAACACTCAAGTGCTTATTAAAGAGTTGGGTTGGACCCTCTATTTTTCTGGCTGAATAGAAGTTGGCTAAGACTCGCTGGTGATCACAGTCTGTGTCCATGGAATCTCATTTACAGTCTCGGGCAAGTCCTCAGTCGGATTGGGAAATTTTTAATAATAAAATTTGTACATTTTTTAAAAAATAATGGACTTTGTATCACAACTATACTATTATTCTCGCCCAACCCAACCCAACCCAACCCAACCCAACCACAGCAGTTAAACTTCTTGTTAACAACTCTCAAAAAAAAAACTGGCGTTTTTTTGATAAGGGAAAAGTTTATATAGGGCCGTGAGTCTAAACAATCACATTTGAGCCTATCTCAAAAATTTTGCTAGACGAGATTGTTTTTCAAAAGTCCTCAAATTGATCATCTTGACATCAAGATGCATAGACATGAGAAAAAAAAATTGACTTTAAGTTTTGGAAATAATGTATTTTATAATGCATTTTTTGACCGTCAATTTACAAGATTTTCAAGTTTTCATAGATATGTCGATCTACACTATATTTTAATATTTAAACTTTATAATAAATAAATAAAAATATATTTTAAAGCCATTACAAATATTTCTAATGTTAAAACCATATTTATCGATACTATTTAAAAGTAGGGTCCAATTTGAGTGTTCAGAGCCTAGGCTCTATACAAACTGCACCCTTTACATAAAAAGACAAAAATTGAGATGAGTTCGCAAAAAATTAGCACAAGAATGGGGAACCAAGATCTTAAACCGCACACCACAAGATACCAAAGAGACCACTCTTAAGTTATAATTTCTTCCTTCACTAAAATCCAAAAAAACAACCAACCCACAATTATATTGCCGTTCCCCTGTTTAAAAGTTCAACTCCTAATACCGTATTACACCCCTTCCTAAAATAAAAAGGGTGCGGTTTTTATAGAGCCAAGGCTCTAAACAATCAAATTAGAGCCTACCTTCAAATAGTATAGAGAAATACTGTTTCAACATTGGAAATCTTTGTGATAGCTTTAAAATATATTTTCATCTTTATCTATAAATTTTAAAGCTTCAAAAATTGTGTAGATCAACAGATCTATGAAAATTTGAAAATCTTAAAAATTGACGATAAAAATATGCGTTACAAAATACACTATTTCTAGAACTTGAAATCCAATTTTTTCTCATGTTCATGCATCTTGCTGCTGAGATGATCAATTTAAGGATATTTGGACACCAAAACAACCTATCCTAGGGAAATTTTTGATATAGGCTTCAATTTGATGTTTAGAGCCTCGACTCTATGCAAATTTTTCCCAAATAAAAATCTCCCACGCCACTTATCTCTTGATATAGTATTCAAAACATTAACCTTCCTATATAACACACGAACT